TTTCTTGCATTTCTTGGGTCTCTGAATGGCCTCTCTTGGGAGGCTCTTGGGGGGAGTCATTAGAGAGAAGATTCAATTATTTATTGCTGAGCAGTCATCTTCAGTCATTACGGGAACTCAGAACATACTGCACGTTTGTCCCTTTCAGGAGAGGGTCACATTAGTGGGGTCCTCTGGAGGGATGAGATCTCCTGTCTTCCTTTAGCTTATACTGTGTAATACCATCATCACCAGTGATCATTTCAGATTGAAACCCACACTGAGTTCAGCCTCCAGAGCCTCCATCCTGTGTGTTATACTCAGTGAGGTAGAGTAAAACCTTAGTTTTACTACATTCCTACAGGAATGTATCATTCTGGGAAACCGAGTTTATGATGAGCCCTTTAAGTGTACTGCACAGATGCACAGAGAGGGCCATATTTATCATTTAGAAACATCATTGAATAATATTTGTATCAAAATATAACTTACATATGGAAAAGTTCACAAATCACACAGCTTAATGAATTACTACATGTTGAACACACTCATGCAACAGGCCCCAGACCAAGAAACAGACCATGATCAGCACTCCAGAGGCACTTCCTGTGTCACCTCCAAATCACTTCTCACTCCACTTTGCCACACGTGTAACCACTATCCTGACCTCTGGCATCATAGGTTAGTTTGTTGTCATTTTCCTAATTTTTATTTTAGAGAGAGAGAGAGAGAGAGCATGAGCCGAGGAGAGAGGCAGAGGGAGAGAGAGAGAGAGAGAGAGAGAGAGAGAATCCCAAGCAGGCTCCATGCTCAGAGTGGTGGGCTTGATCCCATGACCCTGGCATCATGACCTGAGGTGAAATCAAGAGTTGGGCACTCAGCTGACTGAGGCACCCAGGTGCCCCTAGTTTGTTTTTTAACTTTATGCAAATATATAAATGCAATCATAACTTATGTATTATTTTGTGTGTCTTCTTTCACTCGATTAAGTTTATGAGATTTATGCCTTTAGTTTTTTTATATTTATTTATTTTTAGGTGGGGGGAGAGAGAAAGAGAGAGAGAGAGCATGCATGGGGGGGCAGAGAGAAGGAGACACAGAATCTGAAGCAGACTCTAGGCTCTGAGCGGTCAACACAGAGCCCGACTTGGGGCTGGAACTCACGAGCCGTGGAGCCGTGAGATCATAACCTGAGCCAAAGTCTGACACTTAACTGATTGAGCCACCCAGGCACCCCAAGATTTATCCCTCTGTTGAATGAAGCAGTAATTCGTTCATTTCCATTACTACAGTGCATTCAATTATAGGAATATGCCACAATTTACATATCCATTCTACTGATGATTGACATTGAGTTTCCATTTGGGTGCTAATACAATGTTACTATGAACCTTCTGATTGGTGTTGCTTGGCACACATAGGTATGCATTTCTGTTGATTGAGGAGTGACATTACTGGATCATAGGGTCTGTCTATGTTCAGCTTCAGTAAATACTGCCAAAGAGTTTTCCAGTGAAAATTGCTTATTTTCAGTTCAACGGTGTGTGAAAGTTCCAGTTAACATTTGATATTTTTAATCCTTTTACGTTTAGTCAATCTGGTGGAAATGCAGTAGTAATTTATTTTTTTATTTTTTATTTTTTTTATTTTAATTTTATGATTTTTATTTTCCTGTTCACTAACAAGGTTGAGTGTCTTTTCATATGCTTTTTGGCCATTTGGGCACCTTCTTTTACGAAGCGTTAGTTCATGTGTTTTGCGTATTTTTCTCTATTGGGTTGTCTTTTATTAATCTGAAAGAGTTTTTATATATTTTGGATTAAAGTCAACTGGTGATATGCATTGGAAATATCTTCTTCCACACTGTCCCATACTTATTCCTAATGATGTTTCTTGTTGGGCAAAATTTTTACATTATCCCATTTATATATCTTCTCTATGGTCACTGGTTTTTTTCTTTATGTTGTTTTACACTTCACATTTAGCTCTATCATCTATGTGAAGTTTATTTTGCATACAATGTGTAAGGCCAAGATTCACCTGTTTCTATATAGTTATCCAGTGGTCCTCACACCATTTATCGAAGACATTATCTTTTCCCCCAACTACTCTGCAGGAGATCCTTAATCATACATCAAGTTTCCATTTACTTGTAGAACTTTTTCTGGACCCCAACTGGTCCCTTTTTCTTTCCTTGCTATAGTACACTGGCTGAATTTCTGTAGCTCCAACTCTGGATATGCGGTAGTCCAAGCCCTCCAACTTTTCACTTCTTTCTCCAGATTCCCTTGGATATTCTTGGCGCTTTGCATTTTCATATACATTTTAGAATCAACTTGTCAATATCGCAAAAAGCAAGATGGGAATCTAATCTAATTGCACTAAATTTGTAAATCAATTTGCGAAGAACCGACAACTTTATAATACTGAGTTTACTAGTCCATGAACACAACTCAGTAAACTTAATTGCACATCAGCTCTGTGCTAATCACTGTGCTGAGCTCAGATGTGGTTCTTGCTTTTGAAGGACTTAATGAATAGGTAAACAAACACTTATCCACAAAATGCAGTGTGATAATCTCATCACTGGTAATAAGAGCTAATATTTATTAAGTGCCTATTATATTCCAGGCATGATGTTAAGAACTTTTCCTGTATTAATTCATTTCTACTTCACACTGATACTTTGAGGTAAGTGCTGTTATTATGCCCATCTATAGGTTTTTTTAAAGTGTGGTTGATATATAATATTGTATTAGTTTCAGGTGTACAACATAGTGATCAACATTTCTCTGCATTACATGTAATCACCATGATATAGCTACTGTCACCATACAAAGTTTTTATAGTATTATAAACTAAATTCTCTATGCTGTGCATTGCATTCCCATGCCTTTTTTATTTTATAACCTGAAGTTTGTAACTTGTACTCTTCCCCTATGTCACCCATCCCCCTCCTCTACTCCCCTCTGACAACTACCAGATTATTCCCTGTACCTACGAGTCTGTTTGTGTTTGCTTTTGTTTGTTCACTTACCACCCCACTCTAGACACCCTAAGACTGCTTTAGGGCTGTCTGTCTGTTCCTCAGAGATCTCATCTCTTTCTTCTGACATCATAATCATCATTTTCTGCTTGCCGCTAGTATGGCAAGTACCAGTGTGTTTTACAGTATGCTTGCACCATACCTTTCTTACTCTATTATACTGTGCTTTTTCTCTCACCCTTTCTTCTTTACTAGGAAGGTCTGCCTGACCTTTTCATAGACATCAGTAGCTAATCGGAGTGCTTTTTTACTTTTGTGGGATGAACTGACCAATTATAGCATGAGATTTGCAATCTTTGGGTCTCACAGTTTTTTCCTGAGATGTCATTGTGTTGGGGCTGATGGGCTACTGGTGCATTATCCAAGACAGTTGTTTTAGTTTTTGGAATTTGGGGCTCCTTTATTTTTAGGACTGAAAGCAGAAGACTAGAATGTCCCTCCCCGACAGGTGGTTGCTTATCAGAATCACATAAATGGTATATGCTAAATGAATTGATTTATAAAATTTTAACACTTAATGCTTATGGAATATCTGTACTCAAATATACTCAATATATGCCACCATGGGTGAATGTTAAACTGGGGAGGGAGAAGTCTTGGCCTAAGTCCACTTGTGGGTGCTCTTATTGCCTTGGGGTGTCTGTCAACCTCTCAGTATCTTTATTTCCTGTCTGTGAAATTAGAAAGCCAGAATGGAGGATTCTTGAGATAGCTTAAGGCTCTAAGAGTCTCTAACTCCATGTTTAAAGGCCAGAATCTTAGCACTTTAATCCAGACAGTAATTTAGATCTCAATTTATATAAATCTCAAGAAACTTGAACTGAGCATCTATTAGACATCAGGCTCCATGCTAGGTGCTAAGGATACAAAGGGAGGGGTGACCACCATTGCCGAGAAAGCCCCTGAACTAGATTCAATGAAATTGAAGTTATCTGGGTAGATGTGAGAAGGAAGACCATAATGTAGATTTATGTAATCCCAGCTGCTGTAACAAACAATCCCCTACAATATAAGTTTTTTTCCAGTTCATGCAAAGTACAATATGGATGTTTCTGGTCAGTGGGTCATTCTCTGTGTAGCTATTCAGAAACCCTGGTTTCTTCTATCTTGTGACTCCACCATCTTCTGTTGGACACCAGAGTCTTCTGTTGGATCCTCTGTATTCCACAGGCATAGGTGGGAGAGGGAGAGTGGAGGATCCTGTAGAAAGTTTGTGTGGGCCAGGCAGGAAGTGGCATGCATCCTGTCCATCCGTGCTTTCCCTAGGCAGAATGGAAGTGCAAACAGACCTAACTGCAAGGGATACTGGGAAAGTGGTCTAGCTGAGTGCTTACAAGAAATAGGAAGTGTATTTTGGAAAACACACAGCACTCTCTGCCCCAAAGGACTTTGTAAGGGAGTTTGGGCTGTGAGCAGCTAAATTTCTCTTGGAAGTGTAACATTAGATAACTGTCAAGATTGGGGTTGCTGACCAGTGACTATCTTTTTTTTTTTTTAATATTTATTTATTTTTGAGAGAGAGAGTGCAAGCAGGAAAGGGGCAGAGAGAGAGGGAGACAGGATCTGAAGCAGGCTCCAGGCTCATAGATCCTGAACCAGGGCTCAAACTCACATACCACGAGATCATGACCTGGACCGAAGTTGGAAGCTTAACCAGTTGAGGCACCAGGTGCCCCTGACCAGGGACTATCTCTATCCAATTGTGGATACTGGGAGAGAGCTCACCGAAGCCTTCGTTGGTTCAAGAAAGCCCAATTGGGATCATAGTTCAGGCGTTTTGCAGGTTCTGAAACATAAGGAGGGACCTGGGTGGAGAGCAAAAGTTCGCTACTCAAAGGCATGAGGCTTTTCCACTGTCTGCTGCCTCTCCAGCCCACAGGCCTGACCTGTTGATGGAGAACTCACCAACATTCATTTGCCAGATGGAAGCCAGCTGATTTCCGTGCTTATAATCTGCTTTCTCCTCTCTCCACAGTAACCCTTTCCGCTGCCCCTCCCTCCTACTTCAGAGGATTCACATTAATTGCCCTTAAAGAGAACAGAGAGGGTGATAAGGAAGAAGACCATGCTGGAACCTTCCAGGTAAGACTCCTCTGGGCTCCTCCCTTGCCCTTGTGCCCTCGTGGGTAAAAGCCAGGAGAAAGGTGGAGGTACTGAGGAGCTTGAGTGGCAGTAGAGGTACAGGTGTCTGAGTAGCTTCTCGGGCAGTTCCCTTGACCTTGGATCAAAATGGCTGGGTTCCCTTGAAAGACCCATAATGGTGTAGTTAGCAAATGTCTCAAGCTTGCTGTCAGGCCTTCCGGATTGGCCACCAGGAAGGGCTCTCCTCTGGGCTCCCAGTGCCTGGGGGACAGCAGACAGCCCAGCACAGTGAGAGCACTTGGAGCCCTGGCAGAGCCTGGCTGTTTTTCCTGAGAGCCATTCATGATTGACTGGCAGTTCTCAAGTATAAACGGAACAAGAGCTCAGGATGGCCAGACTGGAAGGAATTCAAAGCCTAGGAGAAGGACTATTAAGGGAACGAAGAGATTGATTTATGAGAGGAGATGAAAAGAATTAAACCTGCTTTGCTTGGCTAAATGAACAGAGCTGAGCGTGAGAGGTGGTAATGGTCTCTAAATGTCAGCCCTCACAGAACACCCTTCTCCAGGGGAGGCTGCGTTTGACTTTGTACAAAAGGGCACGGCCAGACGAAAGTGGGTCAAGAGAAGAAAGAGAATCTCAAAGGCAAGGGCCCTGACAGTGAGTCATATTTCACTGTGGAATATTCTTCCATGGGAAGTGGCGGGAACACCATCCCCTTTCAGAGGCTTAGAAAAAGGCCATCCAATCATCAGAACATGTCCCAGAAGGACTGGGGCCATCCTAGGAGGAGGCCTGGCCAAATTTGCTGCAACCATTTCTTGTCTCAAATTTCCATTGTTCTAGAATCCTTTTTTATCTGATGTTTGCAAACTCAGAAGATAAAAAAGAAAAGAGCTCAAGAAAAATACTCACACCCATAGCTGACTGCTGGGGCATGCTGGTATAAGTTGTGGGTTCACGGAGGACCCTGCCCCCAAATATCTTCCCCATCCACAGACCTCTCTTAATCCTTTGTAGCCAGGTTGTCATTTTGAATCCTGTGTTAAAAAAATTTTTTTTAATGTTTATTTATTTGTGAGAGAGAGAGAGACAGAGTGCAAGCAGGAGAAAGGCATAGAGAGGGAGACACAGAATCTGAAGCAGGTTCCAGGCTCTGAGCTATCAGCACAGAGCCTGATGCAGGGCTCAAACTCACGGACCGCAAGATCATGACCTGAGCCAAAGTGAGACGCTTAACTGACTGAGCCACCCAGGTGCCCCACTGAATCCTGTGTTTTAAAATAATGCCCATTGTTTTGTATTCTGGGCCTCTAACCTAGTAGGACGTTAATTCCATGCTCATAGTGATGTTCTGTGCACCTAGGTAGCAGGAACTTTCTTGGCATATATCTGAAGGAATCACCCAGTTCTAATACTAAGGATGCCCAACATTTGCTGGGTTCTTACCATATGCCAGGCACTGGGTTTAGTTTTTTTATCTTATTTTGGCTTATCTCATCTTAATTAGGGTTCTTACTATAATTCTCCAAACAGCCAAATAGATAGAAACTAGTATCCCTATTTTATGGGTCAGGAAATTGAAACTAGCAAGATTGAATCATTTGTGTAAATACCTAGTAAATAGTAAGGCCAGATTCCTGTACCAGATGTCTTGATTCCAGAGACGAAATTGTTTCGTTTCTGAATAGTACCTAGTAAGTTCCTGGCACAAGTGTGTTTGGACAGTGTATCGGTAAAGTTGTCATTATAAGGAAAGGAAGATTCATGCATGTGTTTAGCCCGTAAAGCATTGAAATAAATTCCCCTGGTCCTTGTTGTGCTAATTTACCTGGAAGTGTGGATGATTTATCAGATTCACAAGAGAGGTCTGGGTACCTGAGAGTCAGGAGGGGTAGAGTTCTAAGTGGGGAAAAGGTGGAGGGGGGATTGGGGGGAAAGTGAACTTGTCACCCAAACAAAATGTATCTGCTTTAAAATGGTGCTTAGAGATATATACTCAAAATAGTTGAAAGCAGGGATTCAAATAGATATTTGTACTGCCGTATTCATAGCAGCACCATTCACAACAGCCAAAAGTGGAAACAACCCAAACATCTACTGATGGATGACTGGCTAACCGAATGTGATGGATACATACAGTGCAATATTAATTCTTAAAAAGGAAGGACATTCTGACACATGCTATCTGTAACATGGATGAACCTTGAAGACATTGTGCTAAGTGAAATAAACCAGTCACAGTCACTAATACTGTCTGGTTCCACTTATGTGAGGTACTTAGAACAGTCAAATCCAGAGAAACAGAAAGTCGAGTAGTAGTTTCCAGGAGCTCCAGGGGAGGGAGAGATACAGAATTCTTGATGAACAGGTATAGAGTTTGAGTTTGGGAAGATGAAAAAAATTCTGGAGAGAGATAGTGAAGGCTGCACAAAATATGAGTGTACTTAATGCCACTGAACTGTACATTTAAAAATGGTTAAAATGGGGGTCTCCTGGGTGGCTCAGTCAGTGAGGCATCCGACTTCAGCCAGGTCATGATCTCACAGTTTGTGGGTTTGAGCCCCATGTTGGGCTCTGTGCTGACAGCCAGCTCAGAGCCTGGAGCCTGCTTTGGATTCTGTATCTCCCTCTCTCTCTGACCCCTGCTCACACTGTCTGTCTGTCTGTCTCTCTCTATCTCAGAAATAAATAAAACCATTAAAATTTTTTTAAATGGTTAAAATGGTAAATTTTATGTATATTCGCCCCCCCACACACGTAAATGATGCCTGTGTTAGACCTAATGGGGGCACAGTGTGGAGTTAGGCCTGATGAGGATGTGGCTCCTTTCTTTAAATGCTATTCTGTTTTAATTCATTAAACTGATAGTCCTTCCCAACTCACTGTCCTTTCTACTCAGCTAAATCTTGGTCCTTTCAGCTGATGGGTAAATACAGGGCCCTGCTCACAGTGGGCAGTGAGTAAATGTTTGTTGAATGAGTAAATGAACAAATTATTCTTTCTACTCATATTCATTACTCAGTCCTTTTCAGAATTCCTCTCTCTTCATGCATCCCTCCTTCTTCCTTCTCTTGGACGTACTTTCTTGTTGCGTCCCAGTGGTTCTTGAGTGTGGTCTCTGGACCAGCAGCATCAGCACCATTGATGAACTTGTTAGAAATAAAAAATCTAAAGCCCCACCCAAACCTACTGAATGAGAAACTGAGGCCGGGGTCCCCACGACCTGTGTTTTAACAAGCGCTCAGGGTGAGTCCAGCATATGCTTGAGTTTGAGAGCCAATGTTGATGTGAGGCACAGATCCGGCCCGTCCAACACAAACTCCTCCATCCTCAGCGCTTCCACCAGCCCTTGAGGAATCAAAGTGAGAAACAAACAGGAAAAATGCCTTGCAGACAATAATAATGCACGTGTGCCAGATATTGTTCTAAGTGGTTTACATTTATTAACTGATTTGATCCTCAGAGCAACACTATGAGATAGCACTGTTACCCTGTTTTTCACAGATGAGGGAATTGTGGCACAGAGCAATTAAATAACTTTCTTTCTTTTTTTTTTTTTATGTTTTTTTATTTATTTCTAGGAGACAGAGAGAGAGAGACAGCGTGAGCAGGGGAGGGTCAGAGAGAGAGGGAGTCACAGACTGAAACAGGCTCCAGGCTCCGAGCCGGCAGTCGGCACAGAGCCCGACGCAGGGCTCGAACCCACGAACCGCGAGATCATGACCTAAGCGAAAGTCGGATGCTTAACCGACTAAGCCACCCAGGCACCCCTTAAATAACTTTCTTAAGACTGCTCAGCTCTAAGTGATAAAGCTGGGCTTCAAACTCAGGCAGTCTGGCTCCGGATCCCTGCTCCCAACCACGCTCCACACAGCCTCTCAACGTGTATGTGTTAAGTGAAAATATGAGGGTCTCCTATGACTTTTTTACGGGAGAAGTCTCTGTGCCAAGGGCTTTATATGCATTATCTTACTTAATTCTCATAGCAACCCTGTGAGGTCAGTATTGTTACCGCCATTTTCCAGAAGATGGAACTGAATCTCCAAAGGGCTAAGAGGACTGACCAAAGTAATCCAACATGTATGTGGCGGAAGGGGCCAAACACCATGCCAGTGATTTTCTCACACTTCATCTCCCCACCCCTGCCCTGCCCTTGCACGTTAAATGCACACTTAGACTGTGTTCCCCTCATCTTAGAGGTTAGAGGGGGAGGAATCGTGACTCATGTCTCCATCTTCCATCTCCTGCTTCAGACACTGTGGTCTCTGTACTTCCCTCTCCCAGGGCAGCCTACATGTCTTCTCTCTCCACCAAAGCTGTCATCTTTGGAGTCATTCATTTATTCATGGGCATTCATGGAGTGTCTCCTCCATGCCGAGCCCTGGGGTAGGCACTGAGGGTGACGATGGTAAGAAAATCAGACACAGCTCTGCTCTCCTGGAACTTACAGTGTCCTCCATGCAACTGCACCTTAAAAATTACCTCTGCGTCCAACGGGTGTAGCAGAAAGTCATCCACTGGAATATGAACAGGTGACCAGAAACTACAAACGCCACAGTGATTTAAAAACATGTATGTAGTGATTAACACATATCTAGAAGCACTTCTTTGTTAACACCCTCACTCCAAACACAACAATCCTGAGGCCCTAATAACAGCAACATTCTAATATTCTTTAAATCTGGTTTAAGATTACATTCTTAGTTCTGAAAGTGACTCTGAGGGTGGATGATTCTGCTTCTGCATGAGTGAGCCCTTAGACAGAGAATACGGACTCACCAGGTACAAACAAATGTGAATTTTAATGCCCCTTTAGACTCAGTGGGGAAGGGAATGGGGCCCACAGATGCAGGGTTGTGCTCTCACCACGTGGCAAAGACCCAGGCACAAGGGGGTGGGACTGCCCGTCTGCTTGCAGCATGGCAGCCTTGGCACAGACTCGGGAATCTGTCTCTGGCTGCCAGAAGGGAGAGACATGGGAATCTCTCTTTGATGAG